CCAGTGTTGAACACTATTCACCACCCTCTTCTTCTCGTTCAGGCTGAGTTTACTGTTCCAGTACTGTACACGTTCATTCTGACGGGATCGTCTTCTCATGAAATTCTTCACCCGAGAGAGACCTGAATATCGTATTTATGAGGTATTTAAATCGTGTCATTTCTACGATAATAAGCCTTGATTGGTATCGGTAGTATTCTATAGCTAGCTTATTTTATTACTTGTACATTGTGTTGTAGTTCTGAATCCTAGTTGTACATAGTGTTGTAGTTCAATCTTAGTTGTCATTGTGTTGTAGTTCAATCTTAGTTGTCATTGTGTTGAAGTTCAATCTTAGTTGTCATTGTGTTGTAGTTCAATCTTAGTTGTCATTGTGTTGTAGTTCTGAATCTTAGTTGTCATTGTGTTGTAGTTCAATCTTAGTTGTCATTGTGTTGTAGTTCAATCTTAGTTGTACATTGTGCTGTAGTTCAATCTTAGTCGTATATTGTGCTGTAGTTCTGAATCTTAGTTGTATATTGTGTTGTAGATCAAACGAAAGTCCCTGTACTTTTCTCGAGGCAGAATATAGTATTAGAATTTGATTAAGTGCTAATTTTCATGTCGCAATCCTGTGAATTTTCATGTCGCAATCCTGTGACACAGAAAACCACACAAAAACATTCCCCCGAGGGCAAGCCTCTGCCACTTTGTGTAGACGTGTTTTGGTTAGAATTTGCACCCAAAAGCGTATCTTTCTCAGACAAAAAAATAACCACGTGCAATGAATTGGAATTGTACGCTTGGAAGTAATGGTCATTACAACAGAGGACATATTTCAGACAAACAAGACATTTGCACTGTAAATGAATCCCTTTCTGTGACCGTGGGGAAAAAAGGACCGTCAATCTTCCAAAAATACATTGTCTATATGTCATGGAGGCATAGTGAGGTCATGTGAGACGAGTGGGTTGCTCATTAGTTGTTTACAATTTAGGCCACACCGACTTAATTTTATGGATGACATCCGCGCGCACATTTATTTTCGCCTGATCCCCCCCCCCCCAAAAAAAGATCACGTCTTCCGAGGCTCTGGCCTGGCTTTAGGCCCGGGTAGTCCATGGTGGTAGTCCAACGAAGCCGGTGGTAACTCTGGAGGACGGCACCCAGGCTACCGAAGTTCCACGACTCAAGAACTCAGTACATACGTACAGTGTCGATTCATAAATTCCGCAAAAAGCCAGCATGTGCCGGCCTGTCATATACGTCGCTATTTAATGCGCCAAATTCACAATACCGGCTTTATATTCCAGTGGTTCAGTAGCATGTTTATATTTGGCCGGATTTTTCTTTTTTTTCGCCCGCGTGCACTAGTTTGGGGTCTTCAGAGGATGTCATCCATAAAATTAAGTCGGTGTGGCCTTACTGGAGTAGAAAACCATTATGTCTTATGTAATCACACATAAGTGCACGGCGTATTCTTTACAATTTACTGGAGTGGAAAACCATAATGTCTTATGTAACCACAGATAAGTGCACGACGTATTCTACAAAGCGTACTGTACTTACGATGTCCCTGACCCTCGTTGGTATTCACATCTGGTCCGTCAAACTGTGAAGTTGGAGAGACGGCAGGACCCTTGTATACGCCTAGTGAAGGGCCGAAAATACTTAACCACGAGGTAAAAACTACTAGTATATGGTCCTATATCAACTGAAGTGTGCATGCAAGGTTGATTTTCTGTTAAAATAATAAGCAGTGCCTAGAATTCTAAGGTCATTGAGGAGAGTTACAGACTATGACTATGTTATGCAACAGATTGGTCCAGATCATCAAACTATGGTGGTATGATGTTAGCATTTGAAACAATGTAGATGTATATAATCGCTCTCACCTGAGTCCGTGCTGTCGTTTTGGTCATCATTGACAGTGTTTCCAACGTGGCGACTTTCCAGCCACTCTCGGACAGTGTGAACGTGGTTTCCCACTCTTTGAAGGGTTCGAGTTTTCCTCACATCCCGACGCCTCTCCTCACCTGAGTTTGGATCCCGGTCCTTCTTGGCGATGCTCGATGAAGGAGACCTCTGATCAGAGTTGAGGGTGTCATTCCCATCAGCGGAATGGCTCAGGATGTTATTTAGAACGACAGCCAATGCTGATAGCCCTTTCATGGCTGCCTGGATTTGGGCCTGGTGTTCAATGTTCGGTAGAGTTGTTGGGGATGGTAATGAGACGGTAGCAGTAGGACCGCCAACAGTTGCGCCAAGTTCCTGTGATGGCGTGGCAAGGTCTGGTACTGATGTTCCCAGAGCAGCTCGTAGTCCAGCAATCTCTTGTTGCAGCCGGGCTGCCTCATATTGACGTAAGAGTTTGTCCCGTTCTGCCTGTAACCTGGCGATCTCATCTTCTGAAACGGCGTGGGGAGGGGCGCTTTCCTGCGGATGCGGAGCAGCGTCGGGAGGAGAGGTGGCATCTTTCGGATCCGCTGGAAGCTTCTGAGAATCAGCTGCCTTTGTTGGCTCTTTTATCTGCCATATACAGTCGGCATCAAAGCCGTTCCCTGCGTCTACATGCTTTTGTACAGGTCTACCACATGCAGTGCACATCTCAGTGATTGTAGTCGTCTCCGTTGAATCGTCCTTGTCTGCGCTAGTGTATTCAACAGCCTGCTTGTTCCCTGCTCCATTATGTTTTGCCACTGGTTTATCACGTCTAGTGTCACCGTGATGTAGTTTTTTTGCTCGCTTCATCCAGACCTTCATACGGGCAGGCATATTCGTAGAAACTCCATTGCTATGCTCAATGGCTTTGTTGTATACCTGAATCAAAATAAAGTTCTGATTATAATCAACCGCTAAAATTGCCAAATATTGCAACTCTATGAACACATTGGATCTTAGAAAATATATTTTACACCTTGGCACTAGTTTAATGATTAGCACCACTGATGCTGATCATAATTAAACTTCTACACGGGTGTGCGTGTAATTAAGACACCTGCATGTGTCTATGACAGGTTGAAAAGACAGGCAACACGTACCTCTTTTTAGAAATCTGCCTTTCAAAAAATCATATCATGTAACGTTTTCTGTACGTGACCCATGAAAGATTTTGTTAGTTCAGGGTCATCAATCGATTCTTCTTGATTAAATGTCAGATATAATTACGTTCCCACCTAGAAACACCTTACCACAATCCCACCTATCTCCATTCACCTATAGATAATTTTACGTTATTTTCTCACGGTTAATATATATCAGTAACCCTTGGTTTGTAGAATGTTCGTAAGGTACAACGTCTTATTTTGGGACCTAACGCCGCCACTCTATTTAATTTCTTTCAGTAAGTCGTCGCACAAGAATCATTTAGTGAATTCAACCGTATGACCCATGGCGTCTTGTTGTGGACATGCATGTGCTTCACAAGTAATTACTGTCAACATATTGGGTCGACCATTAATTGACTCAGATCTGTTTAGACTCGGAGAGTTCAGTGACCATAGATGTTATGCACACCACATGGCCTTTTGTTTTTACTGAACGTGAATTCATGCGTGTAGCCTATGCGATATACGACTATCCTGCATTGCCAAGGACGTTCGTTTTGTCATTAGTTCACACAGAAGTTAACCGCAACGTAGTAATGTACTTAACTTACCTGAGATCCAGGAATGGCAAAAACTCGTACAAAGATGAAAAAAAACAGTGCCACTTGGCTTGTAGACGATAACAACATAAAATGAATCTCGCGCTCGCCAACAACTGATCAGACAGGCACAACGACAAACCAAGGTCAGAGGTGATATGAGGCTGCTAATGTTTTGCTTCAGGTCAATGACTGAGTGATAAAGGTAGAAGGATTATGCAACAACGATAACAAGCACTGTCTACTTTAGATCTGTATACAAAAGTGTATAGTCCTGTCATGTATTTGTCCCCTGTGTTGGTGGTGGCATTAATATAAGTTGAAAAAACTTGAGTGTGTCCTCACCACGTCTGGTGATAAAAAAAAGTGTATAGGAGGATGGGATTATTAAGAATAATTCCACACAACTACACACTTTAATCGGGTGACAATACTTTTCCTCATTTCTTCTGACACATCCTTGCTCCCTGTCAAGTCATCCAAATTTGTAATTTTTGTTAGATTGCTGTCATGAAATGATTTCTAGAGATTTAGTCTCGTTACATTAGAGCTCTGTTTTTATCTCCTTGAATGATGTATTGTTATTATTGTTTTTATCTATGTGAACGTGACCCAGTCGCTGTGGATGGAATGTATACGTGATGGTATCCGGTATGTGGGTAGATCTTGGGTAATGCTGTGAGTCCAGGCGACAAACATGTCTACGTTTGTACACATAAAGTACCAGTACTTAGACATAGATTACATACGAATGTACGAGGACGGGGCACTGTGAATCTACATAAAGAGAAATTGTTTGCTAACTAAACTACCGTTGGAAATTCTGCCACGTTCCGCAAGGGGGGAGCAATAGACTGTCTAGGCGATTAACATGATATTTTGCAAGTGTCTACGGGAAGATTATAAGGCGATGGACACTAATACTGTACATTATATTGGTGGTGAAAGCTTTAGGTTCAAAGGCAAGATAAATGATTGAAATTCCATGATTACAGTACTTGAATTGATGAAAGAATGCATCGTTTTATTATTATTATTTTATTATTTATTCATTTTTATTCCATCAGTTTTACCTGAGCCTTAAGGTTGTCAATGTTTAAATGCAACCGTTGGCGTAAAAGCAACATATGGAACAAAGCAAAGTAAATAGACACCAGTGCAATATACACGATCATAAGATAAATAACTCACACATTGCATTCCACATGAAAGTTCATTTGTCTTGGTATCTATCATCAGGAAAGGGATTATTTTTATAATAACTATTTCAATATTAGCAGTTGAGAGTTCAGGTGTCATGAAGATGACTACAAGATTGGTTGAAAGTTGTGTCAGCCCAGCCTCTTTGTGTTATAACACAGTTGAACTCCGTATCTTAGAATAAGTCAATGAAGAAATCCTTGACTGGGTTGTCACCCCTTCTCGTCGCTGGTGTTGCACCTTTTCTGCCCTCGGCCCCGCGGGATGTCCTGGGCGGCTCCACGTCGTCTGATCCACCAAATCCCAGGAAGTTCCAGAACGATGAGGGCTCCTCTTCTGCCTTTTGTCCTAAGATAAAAATGAGTACAGGGTTTTTCATCAGCTCAAGCTCAGAAATATCTTATTTTGAAGATTGTATTTGTACCCAGGAAGCTATAAGTAGAGATTGTTTAAGATTTGTATCCAGGAAGCTATAAGAAGAGATTGTTTAAGACAAAAAAAAACGGGAAAGGAAATAATAGTTGTTGTTGTCAATCAATAGAATGCCTTGCTATAATCACTCTTTTATTTATTTCTTTACTTATTCATCTTAGGGACAAATGGGTAGTCCCTTCAGCCGTTGAGTCTGATTTCCAAGGGAGCCCATACCAACCTCTTTTTTCACTCATCTGACTCATCATGGCAGGGGTGATGTCTGTTGATTGTCTCCTGTCGTCATCTTCTTTTATGCCAAAGACGTTCCCAACATTGAGGCTCGCAAGGCGTGCTCTGTCGTCCTGTTCTATGTCTTCAACTTCTCGAGAGCCAAAAATGAAGCCTTTAATGTCGTCCGTCCAGGCTGGAGATTCTAAAGAAAATGGTCTTGATTTTAGAAGAGCCTTTTCATGAAAACAAATACTGCCACCGTTGTCATTCATTATATCAAAACCTGTCATTGGTTGTTGATGGGCTAAAATAACGTCTAGTCACAGATTCACTATATTCTATACACCATAGTCATATTAATCGTTTTAGTGAACATACAAGAGATGATTTTAAGTTCTGGCATTGGACCTTTAAAATAGTGGAAAATATATAACTTATCAGCAACCCACCTTTGTATTTGTCCTCCCGTCGGTCAGGTGATCCCAAGATGTTTGAAAAGATAGACCCAGTATCTGTCAACAAATGTAAACGACGAAGTAAATTTATTCGATAATGTATTGTGTATATATGATGTAATATAAAGTAAAATATTACCATAATATATCGTGCAGGCATTAGGCAACTTGGTCATGTAGTAAATCAGACAAGTACACAATCCTTACCTTTCTGCTTGTTTTCATCTTGTGACACACCAAAGGTCTGACCCAGACTTTGGAGGAAACCAACTGTTTTGATAAAACAATGTAGTGAAAACGTGCATCTAAAAATGTGCATCTAAATGTGCATAAAGGCAGTTCAAATGATTAAAGAGGCGTTGTTTACGAACTAAAGTGCAGGGCATCAAGTAAACAGTTGTATTTCCACATTTTCCAAATGGTTACGATAAAGAACAATAAGAATGATAAACAGTAGTATATGATGATGATGATGATTTTTAAATAATCATCATCAACATATATTAAAATCATTTTTTAAATCATCATCATCATCATGTATTAAAATCATAAGAGCCATAAGTATGATAAACAGTATATGATGATGATGATTGTTAAATCATCATTATCATATATTAAAATTATTTCTAAATCATCATCATATATTAAAATCATACGTAAGAGCCATAAGAAAGATAAACAGTATATGATTATGATATCAACATCATAATATATTGAAATTATTTCTAAATCATCATCATCATATATTAAAACCATAAGAGCCATAAGAATGATAAACAGTAGTAGATGATGATGATGATGATTTAATCTATAATCTGACTAACCTGGTTGGTTGTCTGTATCAGCTGATGCTCTTCCCCTATCTTCACCTGCTGCCCACCTCCCCATCTCAGCGGGCATCAGACCTGGACCTGGCTCTTCTTTCTGCTGTCTCCCTCCAAAGGACCGCATGATGCTGTTCAAAACACTGGATTCCCCTGCATGAGTTGTAATGCGTTTTCCATATAAATGTCTTCGGCCTAATATCAACGTATTTGACAGTTTTAGTGATTCTGTATTAAAGAATGACTGCTGGCGACTGTCAACTATATAGGTGATATTGATGCAGCATCTAACTATCAGAGGTTTTCTCATGTAGAGTGAATCTATTCGACCATCATTGTATCGTATTGCCTTGAATATATGTAATAGTCCTCTGTGTTCTTGATGAAAGTAGTATTGATAAATTAAGACTAAATATGAGTATTGTTTAATCTACTAACGACAATAACTCACTTAGTTTTTGCTGTTAACTTACTTATTAATCGTTAGCAACAAAACACATATGAAGAAGGGATCCAGTGTTACCGTTTTCTCGGTTTCCACCATCCTCGCCCCCTGCATAACTGCCCATGAAAGGACCGGCCTGATTTCTCTCCTCCTGGATTCTCCCATCTTTATCCCAAGACAAACTTACAGATGGTTTTAGACCGCCTAGGAAGCCATGAGAGCCTAGGGAAAAAGTGCAGCAAAGATATGAAAACATATTACAGTTAAAGAATCAAACAACGATGTACATTGGTGTCTTTGTGAATGGTGTAACAGCAACAGAAGCTGTGTTAAACGTTAATTTAATTCAAATTCTTGACACGGTATATATCAATAAGAAATCACATACTCGAGTCATCCGGTGGATTTCTGTGTGATCTACCAGTGTCCTCGCCCCAAGCAGATACGTTCGGTGCTGCAGGGTTCCTTTCTTTCTGTTCATCACCACCCACCAAGTTCAGAAAGGAACCCTTGAAGCCGTCGAAGAATCCTATGAGTTCAACAATTTTGTATACATGTACAAAATTACTAAATAGTTCACAGTTAGTACTGATGGCATATATCTGCAGGGTTATACAAATGTAAATATTGTAGCTTCATAGGAATTACATTTTTGGTTTGATGTTGATAAATAGGAACGTTAAAAGTCGTAGCATTCCTATGGTATTGTCAATAAGACTGTACCTGACTTTGTGTCGAGGTCTGGCGTTTTGGATACATCCTCGCCAGCTTTGTAGGTCCTCCAGGTTTCCCGCTTGTCGTCTGCCAGTTTTGTCCTGGCCGAGCCGGAATCCATCTTATGATCTACTGTTTGACCTAGGGACATCATTGATGTCCAACCTTTTGATGTATTTCCTGTTTAAAGAATATTGATCATAATATTTTTGTAATAGCTAGCTGTCGTCACGTTTTAGGGTTTAAATAGCACTGCAAATAACCTGAAAACGACGATTCGGTGCTCTTTTAGGCAAATGGTTGACATACACATGTACTGCCTAGTGCCACTGGTTGGTTGAAATTCGTCTTTTCAAAAGTATCTCAATGCATATAGTTGAGTGTCAAGCATTACTCTTGTAAAAGCTTTTAAGTAACTTAAAAGTTACCTTTTTGGGCATCTGATGTTTGGTCCATTGTTGGTCTTCCTGATGGATTCCGTTTCCTTTGAACAGGGTGTTTTTCCTCTCCCCTGACGATCCCTGTCTTGCCATCAGACGACGTCTCTGTGCTTCTTCTGCTTCTCAGATTACTTGGGTCTTTTGCACTCGGACGTTGACCCCTCCTTGTGGGTCTGTTCTTCTCCACGTCCATAGAATGCGAGCGACCTGCATATTCAACGGCAAAGAATACGTACTGATAGTCTATGTACATCTTAATGATGACAATAAACATACATTTTAGTACCAATCAACAAGGGCTGCTCTCATAAATCATAAAATCAAAGTCATAATATATATAGGAATCTTTCTAGCTTCATGTTTTCCTCATGTCAGTACACGTACCTGGTTCATTCTTTGTCGCTCTTCTACGAGGATCGGGCGTATCTCTTCTAGAGCGGTTGTCTGCGGGTTGTCTGCGGGTCTTTGGATGTCTAGAGGGGCTTCTGGGTGTCCGTGTATTTCTAGATGGACTGTGATGTCTCCTTGGACTTCTAGATGGACTGTGGTGTCTCCTTGGACTTCTAGATGGACTGTGGTGTCTCCTTGGACTTCTAGATGGGCTGTGTGGTCTCCTTGAAGTACTTCTGGAGGATTTGCGAGGTTCTCTTGGATTCAGATTTTCATGTGGTGCTTTTTTACTCCTGGCATCTTGCTTTTCTTGGTGTTTACTCGATGGATGGCCCACCTCACCCCCAGATGCTCCTTTATATGAAAAAATAGCATTATGATTCAACTCATCCTTGACACAATTTACCAAAAATCATACCGAGCATTTCAAGACATCCTGAGTAAGATGAGTCAACAAGGCAGATTGATGCATTTTGTTAATAATCAACATGTATGTATGATAACATTAGCCGTAGATTTTATATACTCTAACGTTATGTGTCTTAATGTTAACAAGCTGACACCTTTGGGCTCACGTTTCGGTCTTGTGTCTTCTTTCGGTATTCTCTCGTCCTCAAAGAAGTGCGAAACGATGTCCGCGGTGGTTTTAACTTCAGCACCGCGAGGGTTCTTGGACTCCCTGTCTCGTGGTCTGGCAGTCTCCTGCTTTCGTGACTGGTGACGGGACCGTCTTCTTGGAGCTTCTTCAGAAGTGGCAAGACTTTGGGAAGTATCGGTAGTAGGCGTTTCTAAAAGGAGCAACATATAGATTGTTGACATTTGTGATTTCGTGCCTAATTTACAATTGTGGAGTGCGTAAATGTACATATTCGTAAAAATACACGTGAAGCTCTCTGAGTACATAAAGCTGACTAAAAGCTACCATAAAGTCTTCGCAAAACAGTGAGAATGGTCTCTAGATTTGAGATAAGTAAGTTTATTTCTATTTCATTTTCTTTCTTGTATGTCAACATACCACAAATGCTCTTTCAATGGCAAGATCCGATCGATATGATATAGAGGAGAACGGTGTAATTACTCACTTCTAGCAGGCTGTTCGTTTCTCATGCTGCTGCCAGCCATTGTCTTGACCACTGCGTCCGCTGTCGTCATTCCTTCACTAATCTTGTTGACTTGTTTAGAGGTATTGTTGTGCTTCTGAAACCTTCTGTCTTCCTTAGATGAGGTAGATGGAAACTCTGAAAATGATTCAGGCGACGTGTGGCAATGGCACTTAGTTTCAGTTTACAATATATTAATAGACATCTTTAGTATGTACATTCGATGGAAAGCTTTTTGACGTTCTGAACATTCAAGTGCATTGCTTTAAGATTATGACTGATCTAGCACCTGCACGATCAAAGTACTTGTCCTTGAGACCTGTACTTGAATATGGGCACGTACTACTAGTAGGGTGTAATAAGGAGCAGGAAAGACTGATTGAAAGAGTACAACGGAGAGCACTCCGGATCATCTCACTGGGGGGAAGACGTGAGGTGCCTCCTCTGCCAACGCTGAAGGAAAGGCGAGAGGTGGCGGCAGTGAAACTACTGAAGAACATGCTGGACGAGGGTCATCCCCTCCATGACCTGGTTCCACCGGTTAGGAAAACGGCCACTGGGAGGACCTTAAGAAATTGAGCTGCACTCACAGTACCAGTAGCCCGCACCAAAAGACTGAAAAACTCTTTCCTACACAAGGCAATACGCCTGTACAACGAGTCATTGTAGCAATGACTTTCAAGACTCTGGACTTTACTTCAGTGCCCTCGTGTATTGTGTGATTTTGTAACATGTTCGTTTGCGTGCCTGTATATGTATTGTCATGTAAATGTGTTTGTATCTATTATGTACAAAATTTGTAAAAATCAGTGTAATTCAGCTTGGTCGACTTTGTAAACTGGCTGCAAGGCTGATTTTATTAATAAAACTTGAAACTTGAAGTAAAAACTTGAATGACAATGACATGAATCATTAGCAGCATGTAACTACATGTGACACAAAAACCAGCAACTTGAAGAATACTACTTATCACCTAAGTATCACCATCACCGCTAACATTGAAACATGTAAATCACTAACTTTCTCGGAGCTTTGTGACTTGGCCATTCTCAGCTTTTGCGTGATAATCGTTGGCATCTTCATTTACAGCTTCTTCTACTCCTTCTCCAATCGCACCCAGCTCACTGAGCTTTCTCGTTGACTCAGTCTTTCCATGGGACCATAACTCTCCTGTGATGATAGTTGTGTAAGCAATGATGATAATCTGCTCTTAAAGGCCAACATTTTAAAAGAAACTACTCGCTGTGCACTGGGGGGGGGGGGCAAATGATATATACTATAACAAAAAACTATTCTTCTTCTCATCTAATATTTCATTAATTTTGGAGCAGTCAACAGAGTTTTACGTACTGTAAGACGACTGAGATAGAACATATAGCATACCGTGTTGGTGCTTTACTTTGTAGTTATGTAGATCTGGCATTGACCCTCCAACATAGGATGGGTTGAAAACCTCGACACCAGGACGTCCCATATTTGGGCCTGTGCAAGTGTGAAGCATATTTTGAAAACCAGTGTCTACTGAGTCTTAAGGATGTAAGATCATAATGAGTTTTCAAAATTGACAGCTCGTAATTCGTATTTGTAAATATAACAATCGGACTGGGTAAGAAATAAAATATTCACAAGACATCCTCTGTTTTTTATTACCTCTTTGATAACCCCTAGTATCAGAGTGGTGCCTTCTCCTGTCAGCGGCAGTTTGTCCGGTATGTTTATTCTCTAGCCAGTTTTGAACAGCACTTCTCTGTACCCTTTTCGTCTCATTCGTAATGAGTTTGGAGTTCCAATATTGCACACGTTCATTCTGAAGGGTCCGTCTTCTCATTAATGCTTCCGTCCGAGTGAGGCCTGAACAAATGATGTATTTGCCATTGATGAGCTACATAAATGCTCTCATTTCTTTTCGAAAGATGCAACTGGATTGTTAGCAGTAGTATGTGGACTCTAATATACTACTGCTAGCATAACATTAGAACAATCAAGAATCAAAGATGTCAAAGATGCAGAATAAAAGTTATTCATGCCTATACTTTTATTGAGTACTACTGTACATACCTTGTTCATGTGGCGTAACGATAGATACTCTCGGTGTTTGTCGTAACTGGCCTATCTGGAAAGATTGCGACCTTGCAGGAATCCGCCTGGATTCTTTATCAACGGGTCAACAACATCATCCACCATCAATAAGGCAATATACAAAAGATTGCTCTAATTACGTCTTATGATCTACAACTATGTTATAACTCTAAGAAATTGAGGCTTCCTGGAAGTTACTGATGATGAGCTCAACGCAAATGTCTGTCTAACTAACGTGTGCTGTACTTACTTTGTCCTTGCCCATCGTTTACATCTGGCATTGATCCACCGAACACTGAAGTTGGAGAGACGGCAGGACTCCTGACTCCTGTTGAAAGGCAGATAATACTTGACTGTGAGAGGAGTGAAATGGTCGGATTTCCAACGTTAATTATGCAGGGTTGAATTTTTGCTACACGTACATGTAAGGATTTGATTATTGTTTAGTGACCTGGATGGTGATGAGGCATTGAAAGGTGTTACAGTCTCAATACTATGCAAAGATCAATTTCCATAGCTTAATTTTCTTCAATGTATTGTAGATTGTAATGTCCATCGGCTGTCACCTGAGTCTGTGCTGCCGGTTCTGGCTCCCTCGCCATTGTGAGCGGCGTGACTATTTTCCAGCCAGTCTCTGACATGGTCGATTCCCACCCTATTCTCGCTATGTTTCCTACTCAAATCCCGAAGCCGGTCACTCTGAAGGGCCATCCGTTGTCTCAAATACCCAGTCCGCGATGCAACTGAGACAAAAAAATGTATTATGAAGTCAATGTCTAAGGACTCTGAGGTAGCTAGATTCTAGCTACATATACATACACAACAACGAAATATTTGTCCTTCTCATATGGATAAGGTAAATTGCTACGATATATCTTTATAAGTCCTAGTTTTACAAAAGGGGATGCAATTATGTGGAGCGAATCTGCACTGTCACCTTACCTAAGTTTGGATCTTCATCCTTCTTGACAAAGCTTGATGATGGAGACCATTGTTCAGTGTCAAGGGTCTCCTGATCACCAAAATAGTCATCCCCATCCGTGGAGTGGCTCAGGATGTCATTTAAAAAATCTACTGATGATGAAAGTCTTTTCAGAGCTGTCTTGATTTGGGGCTGGTGTTTAATGTTTTGTAGTTTTGTTGGGGGAGGTGGTGCGACATTTTTTGGTACAGGTGCAGTAGGAGGATCGCCAACAGTTGCGCCAAGTGCCTGTGATGGCGTGGCAAGGTCCGGTACTGATGTTCCCAGAGCAGCGCGTAGTCCAGCGATCTCTTGCTGCAGTCGTGCTGCCTCATACTGACGTAAGAGTTTGTCCCGTTCTGCCTGTAACTTGGCGATCTCATCTTCTGAGACAGTCTTTGAAGGGGAACTTTTCTCCGGAGCAGCTTTTGGAGGAGAGGTGGCATCTTTCGGATCCGCTGGTAGCTCCTGGGAATTAGCAGCTGCCTTTGTTGGCTCCCGTGGCTTCCATATACATTCCGCACCAAACCCGTTCCCTGCTTCTATGTGGTTTTTCACCGGCCTACCACACGCACTGCACATCTCTGTGGTCGTGGTTGTATCTGCTGAATCGTCCTTGTCGGAAGAGTGGATTTCAGCTTTCACTGTCAGTCTATGTGCACCATCGGACATGTTGTAGAGCTGTGGCTACCATGGCCAACGGCTGGTCGTGTCAGTTTGAAAGATTTGTCTGTGTTGACCTGAATGAGATACGAATTACCATAAATGCAGGAGAACAAACACTGCAGGAAAGATATTATTGACGCTATGAAAAGGGTACATAATTATTAAAGTATTAGTGCAAGCACCTCTCTGTAACAGAAACATTTACCTTGAAATGTTCTATTAGTGCTGGGTCACCAAACGTGTCTATGGGAACTTATGCAAGCAGACGTTCACACGAAGAAAACGTCTGACAATTCCCCTGCCTCCCTCCATTCATCATTCAGTAACATTACGTTACCCCTTGGATATTTCAATTGTCATAAGTGTCCCCTACTTCATAAAAGAACCCTTCTTCACCTTTGACCCTTGCGAAGGTCAGTTCAAGGTCATAGATTGCATAAGCTATCATATATTACCTCCTACTTAGGGGTCAAATATTCTTACTCAAATCATTTTATTTCGTAACAAAAACAGTTACAGACGTGCATTATGTGGAGTATAAATTGATGATTTTCAAAGTGTCATGGCGTCATTTCCTTACCCTTACCCTGTACATAATAACGTCGCTCACAATAAGTCAAAAAAGTCAATCTGGTTTACAACATGAAGGCCAGTGAAAATGAACGTTATAGGTACTTCACGTGGCTACCAACTGTTTTACTAATTACATGTGTGCCAATCTACGCAATGTAAACCCTTCTAGTACCTTGGCGACCATCTTGACTCATCACGTGGATACATTTTCAAGGCAGTACTTCACACACACTACAGCTGACTCGTGGTACATACCTTGACTTCAGCAATGGTGACAACTTTGACAAAAACGACGGGTATAGAATGTGTTCCTCGGAATGACAGACAACAACAAAATAAAGGTCTAGAGTTCGAAGCGTGACCTCTGAACTAATGAGACAAGCACAACCACCAGACAAGGTCAGATGTTATTATTAGTATTTGTAAGAATAGCACAACCGTAGAGTGAATGACCGAATGTATCTAGAAAAAAATCGTATGCAAGGAGTCTGTTTTGGCTTGTATGTGGATCTGAATGTTTGATATCACTGACAAATGTGTTCGTAGTCGGAGAACCTACAAAATAAGACATATTTGCTAAAAATATGTCATGGCTACATTCCGACTAACTTTTGCATATTCCATATATGTTTTTGCATATTTTGCATATATGTTTGATTGTGACCTGTAACTTCTAGGGATCGCATATAGACTAATGACAAAAAGCATACACACATGTTTGCGTTCGTGATATTAGAGCTGTGGACTGAAAAATCTGTACAACTACATCTGGATATCTGCCAGTGATCTACAATACAAAGTCTGTAGTCCCTGACCTCGGGCACACGCCTGGGCCGTGGCAGCACGCACCTCATCAGACATCTCACCCTGCAGGTTTTGTGTGATCAGGTATGAAGAATTTAACCTTTCTGAAAAGGCCTTATCGGCAAATACTATCAGTGACAAAGGGTTTTCCAACTTGATTTAACCTTATCCATCCATCATTAGACTTCTTCTTTGTTGATGCATTTTGAAGCATAAGCGGATAGGAGGCTCTTCATGTTACATTTCGTCATATTGTGCACAGAATGAACATGTGGCTGGTATAGTACTAGGTAGATAGATATGCCCAAGGTCTCGCTATGCCAAAGGCGACACGAGAGCGCGCCAGGGGTTAACGTTGTTTTGAAGGTACCTACTGCGGGTCAGCAGAGATTTAAGTTGATTAGGTATTGTAAATGGAACCATTAGTGATGGATAAAGAATCTTGTGGAATTTTCCAGGGTAGGGAAACGTAGGTTGTTAGTGGTTTACGTCAAAGAGATGGACACGAGAAACAGACGATTTGTATCCGACTAGTATACATTCAGATGCAATTATCCAATTGGAATAAACACACACAAACACACATACGTACGTACGCACGCACACACACACACACACACACACACGAACGCACACACGCGCACGCACGCACGAACACACACACACACACGAGCGCACACACACACGAGCACGCGCGTGTACCCACACATACAAACACGCGCAAGCACACACAAACACATACATACACACACGCACACACACACGCACGCACACACACGAAAAAAAGTAAAAAGATGAAAGAATGCTTGTTAACGTACATAATGACAGTGGTTTTTATTGCATATTCATGGTCAAAAGGGTGAAAGGCAGGGTATATAAACTATATATGTATATAAATATATCGAGTATGTTTACACGAGTACATGTATGTAATTATATATATATATATATATATATATATATATGAACTTTATTGCTCGACAGTTGTACATGGTACAATGTATGGCAACAATGACAATGTGATCAATACAGTAAGTCTATCCTAAGAAACTATTACTACAGAAATATGAACGTAAACGGAGTATTGACATGATGTACGTTAAGCGTGTGTGATACAATCACTTCCTCTCTTTTATATGTAATGAATACATGCGCGTAATGCATGTTTTCCAGGGCCTCACAGTAACTGTGCACCCTGGCTAAATAAAACAGTGGGGTCGTGTGGCGTTGCAGCAGAGTGCGCGACTCGGAACTAAGAGTCCCGGGTTCGAGTCCTGACATGCCACAGATCTTGTGCCCTTGGGAAAGGCACTTTACACGACTTTCCTCACTTAGCTCAGGTGTAAATGAGTATTGTCCTGTCATGTATTTGTCCCCTGTGTTGGTGGCGGCATTGACATAAGTTGAAAAAACTTGAGTGTGTCGTCACCACGTCTGGTGATTACATGTTGGAATAAAAAAAAAACAGAACTAAGTAGATAATGATATATGTACGATATGCAGTTGCTCGTGACTTAAATTACAACTAACTCCAGATCCCCTGAAATGGGCCTAGAGCTCCTCTCCGGTCAGCCTTTCTCCTTTGCCTTTCAGTCTTTTTCCTTCCTGGTACACTTGAGAACAAGCCGAGATCTGGCAGCGAAAACTCCGAGCCCGAAGATGCTATTAATACAATAAAAAATATAATGACATATGAATAAATATGTCTAGAACTGCCCATGTTTATAATCGACCTGTATTAAATTCAACCTCTTTAAAACATGCACAAGAGATAAATAGCACCAGAAAAAATAGCTTGAAGGCCGGGGGTAAAGCTAAAGCAAATGTCAAGAAAATGCCGTGCAAAATTATAAGCTGTTTTCGGCCAAAATATTACTATCGTCCCTGTGGCAGAATTTTTTTTATTAATTGAACTTAGTCATGCTGCTCATAAATGATGTGTGCAATATTTTTAAAAGAAAAGAACCCAGCAACAATGAAATGTCAGAAATATGAAATATACTTGGAATGAATATATATTTACTTGAACTATCGCCTGAGCCACGTCTTCTGTCGTAATTTTTGTTTCCTGACCACCAGCACATTGGGGACAAGGAGTTCGGGTCCATGTTTTTGTCACCGCTCCTGCGCCGACACCTCTGCTTCTGGTAACCCGGTACAGCCCAGCGTGGTTCGCTCTCGTCTTCCGATGCCATTCCGAACAGATCTCTGATGGCTGACCACCACGTGCGAGGGGAGAACCAGCTTAAGCCGTTCTCCCCATCGTCTGATTTTCTGGTACACTTGTCTTCCGGAGGGGGAGAAATTTTGAATGACGGGAGCTTATCAAGGACGCTGGGCGGTCCTGTAAAATGATACATAATGCTTATAGAATAATCATGTTTTTTTCGGAATGATTCCTGTACATTGCACGTTTACAGACGTACTGTCAACAACAAACAAACAAACAAACAAACAAACAAACAAACAACTGTTAAACCATGAGTAAACCCCATGAAAAAGATTTTGTACACGTATGCGTTACGAACCACATCTTCGCCACACATTGACAATTGAGATGAATGAATAAATACATATTAGCATGCTAGTGTTAGATGAAGTACAGTAACGCCCAATTCATTATTCACCTTTACCCTCCTGTTGGTCTCTGCCAGTGTCCTCTCCCCCTGTCCAGCCGTCTGCCCACCCCACCCTGCCCGCCCGACCATCCTTGTCAGAAGGCATCCAAAATGACTTTACTCTGCTACTTAGGAAACCCAAAGGTCCTGTAGAGATGACGTTATACAAGTCATTTTGTAATATCAAAACAACCCACTCACTGTTGCAGGCAATCAAATCTGCAGAAACGTCTCTTTCACTTGTGATGAGACCAATTGAAACAAACAGGAGCGAGTAGAAACAAGATAACCCTGTGGGGTGATAATTTAACGGCGGCTACTTTTCATAGGTATAATTGTTAAGCACACAAACAAGTAAATAGCGGCACAAGAAACTGCTTTCGAGTTAACACAATACTCGAAGAAGCGGTGCTGTTTATGTTGTGTATTTTAATGGGAGAAACCTTAGACTATCTACCTGAGTCCCCTGTGACATGGTTTCTGTCCTTCCCCGTGTCCTCTCCTCCTGCCCAGCTGCCGACCGGAGGCACTCTCTGATCCCCGTCCCTCCCAGGCTGTTCTCGTGCCCAGCTGTTTCCCCAAAGAGACTGCTTCAGGCTATTTATAAATCCTTGAAAAATAAAAGAAAAAGTCCTTGCATCAGCAAATCAAAGATCGTTGTGAAGAAATATAATCTTATGCTGCATCCCTCAAGAATTTGATGCGATGCAGCCATCCTTTTTGCTAACATTCTATATACTTGTGCGAGTTTATATTGTGCGATAAGAGTTATATCTCTAGTACAGTGATGCTGTATATTGTATAGTGCAACAAACACATCAGACGAATATTGAGTCACCTGAGTTCCCGGCATCCCTCTGACTTCCGGTGTCCTCCCCTCCCTCCCAGCTGCCCATGAAGGCAGGCCGTCGCTTCTCTGACTCACCGCCGGTCGTCCAGGAGTTGAAGCGCCGTTTCAGACTGGCTAGAAAACCTTGAAAACCTTGATAAAAAGGGCAAAACCTGTTGTGATATTAAGCAAAGTTAGACGACACCCCTTTAACTCTCTGTGATAGACTAGTCCATATCTGAATATTAAGTAGCTCAGTCTATTAGAGTAACCCAAGACTCTAGTTCCTTCTCTTTCTGCCTGGACTCCAGACTGAGCACATCCACGTTTGTACCGTTACTAACCCTTCCGGATTAAAGCATCTAAAAAGGCAACTCAAGGTCTCTGTCCAAGTTCACTGTCGAGTTCAAAGAGTACATCAAAACCTTCGTGCTTACTTACTTACCAAGCTGTCATGAAAGTTCATCTGTGTTGGTAGTTACATGTTTAGAGTTAAAACTTTTGGTCCAACACAAAAAATTCTCTCACCTAGAGCTTTCGACCAGTCACTCTGGTCTTCCTCAGTAGACTGACCCAGTGAAGCTTGTCACGTGGCTTCTTTGAAGTCTGACGTCAACACTGGGTCAAAGGTGTCTGGTAGACGATGTCAAGCCCCGTGGCGGTTCAATGTCGATAGCTCTAAGTAAATAATTCTTTGTGTTGTACCAAAAGTTTTAACTCTAAACATACTTAACAAGCTGTTATCTATATTGAAAAAAACTAAGAACGGTATCTAAGATTTTTCTTTTAAATATTCAATTTAAAATAAAATATTTCGACGTACCAGATGAATTCTCGTCTTCTCGTCGGTTCTTTTCTGCTTCTCCGCCGGCGACCATGTTGTACACGATACCTGGGATGTGGTCTCCGTACGTACCACGGTCCTCCACGGTTTCTTCTTCAGGAATTCGTAGGATTTTTTTACATCCACCTACGAAATCCGAGAACATCTCTGCTCCTGCTCCGATGGGCTCTGTAATCGAACAGAAGATAATAGAAACTTTATTGCTAATACTTGCCCGAGGGCTAATTGCAGTTACAAACAACATAAGAAAGAAAATATTGTGGTATCTATTAATCTACGTCTAGCATTATACTATATTCTACAACATACATGGTACTAGTTTTCCGGGAATTCCACAACTGAGAAGTCGCAATGCCCCTGCAAGTCAAGGACAGTCTTGAACTGAGTTCAAGATGTTTTGTAGTCCTTACTGCTTGTCAGATACCGTTTGTCACGATACAAACATAACTGACTTCACAAAGTCTGTTACACTGCTGTTATACTGTGTTTCACTGACTGAATAATTATCATGAAAGCCATTCTTACGTGAGCCACGTCGCCTGCTGGTGTTGTCCTCTCCTGCCTTGAAGCTTCCCAAAATGACAAGGTTCTCATCTGACAGTTTTTCGTCTGAGCTGTCCACCACATACTCCATGGGAGGGGCGTTGTAGAGGATCTTCTTTTTACTGTTGCAAGTTCGAATTCCTTCTTGAAGAAAAAAAAAAGAAATATATGAAAAAAAAGAAATATAAATTTCTTTTCATTAGTTAAAGAAAGCTTATGAAGTACAATCTTACTTGGTGTTAGAAGATTCGTGTGATGACGAAGCTAGCGTCTCCAAACTTTTACAAATCCATCGCAATTTCTTCTAAGATTCATTGAGCAAATATATGACACAAAACGTACTTTTGTTCCTCTTTTCCCTCTTCAAGCTGCTCTTTTTATCTTTGCACTCCTCTCTCGCCGACGCTTTCTTGGTACATAGACGTTCGCATGCCCTCTTGTCGTTTCTTGGCGCTATGCACCGCCTCTTTGGATCAGTGTCCATAACTGAACTACATTTTCCATAGAGCATCAATGAACTATTCTGGACTGGATCTCTACTCAAATCTGTATGAACACACGTATATTGTAAGCATAAAATGCAGCAAAGATGCTAACGCCCAGTAAAAAAATCAGTTTCTTCAATATACACAGAAGCTACAGCCAGAAGAACAATTGCCAACACTTGCCGTCATCTTTATAATTACACCTAACATCCACATCTGACATCTCCAACGCCGACATACTGGTAGGATACTGGTCTTGGGGTCTGGGTGGGCCTGGAAAACAGATACTTTAGACAACAGATATTGTCGAAGCCCACAAGAATCAAGCTGCATTTGGAATCATGATATATTAGCTATACATGTTACTCTCCCAAAAGTAACAAGTCCGGACGTACCGTACATGTCGTCCACGCTTGTATAGCTGGTACACATGTCAGAAAAACGAACATTGGACCAATATTCGTTTGATGTAGAGCGACGAATCCTTGGAAATACTATCGGAGGCCCTATATCCAACACAAATATGATCAATATGATGGGTATTATGAATTATGTACCATTAATACTTAGATATAATCTGACAACCTTAGTGATATATGTGTGTTCACCAAAAATGTCACAAATGATATTTAGCTTTTGCCAGTGTAACTGAGCATGTTAATAAAAATTATTGAAAAGAGAAAGGCATAAAGATCAGACTAATGTTACAGTAATGTTAAAAGGTATTGTCCTGTAACTCACTTATCTCGTTTTCGTCATAGCTGATGCCAAAGTCGGAATGTGAACGCCGCCTGTCGGATGACTTGTGTTTCCCTGGCAACAGACATCTCGAGCCTTCTAGTAGTGGGAATAAAAAAACACAATGTATACGTATATGTAATGAAAAGGTGTCGACAATCCTAATATGACAGAAGAACATTTTAAGAGGGCATAAAGAACTATATACAATGATTAATAATTTATTTAGACCCACTTTTTTCCACATCTCGTTCATATCCACCACTGTCATCGCTCTCGTAGATTAGCGATTGTTCACTGCCTTCACTTCCACTGTCCTCTTCCTCAAGCCAGTTGGATCGTTTGATTCTGACGTCATCCATGCTTTCGTCCTCCATGTTTGACATTTCGCCTGTACAGCTATCCCCTTCTTCACTATCATCTAGCATTTCACACTCTTCTGGATGGTACGCATCTGCGTAATTTGGGCACTCAGCATGTCGTTGTCTGTCACAGCCTCCCCGACTTCTGACACAAAATTGTTGTTGAGTGCTGAGCCGAATGACTGGAAAAGAAGGGGATAAAATTAGATAAAGAGAACTCTATTGGAAGCATAACTGTACATGATCCTTCAATTTATACTTACTGCAAGATTTCTGTATTGAAATTTTCAAGGGATATACCAATTTCTTTTCTGTACATAGATGGGCATGGCCACCATGTCGAACCACCTCGCTATATTTATAGTATGGAAAACCATGTCGTCAATTATTGAATGTTACTTGTATATACTTGTATATGTATTATATTAGCCTACGGTGTTAGTTTTATTGAGTATGTGGAATGTAAAATTCGGCACAATTCAGTGTATACTGCAAGGCCGATTTGTATCGTGTTTTTACCAATAAACCATTTACTACACCATTATTTTGAGGTTGGTGTTTAGGGTATATCCCTACCTCTGTGCTTCTTTTTCCCTTGACAATCTGGATACACCTGGAATCGCCGAGTTCTGGAGCGGTCTTGACTGTTATTCTTACCATCCTCATATCCTAGGGTGAATAAGGAATACACGATTGTGAGAAAGCAGAAACACAAGTTCGTGTGTTGTACAATACTTCATTGTTTGACAAGAACGTTTAACTGTATATCATGTACATAAAGTACATGTACATTCTTTCCCGTCTCATCCTAAAAAACTAGGCTGTTTAAAACTCTTTCTACATGTTGACAGGCAATACAAACCCACAGTTTACAAATCGACACATGCTCTGTGAGATAATCATTGTGTACTTCTGGGTGACAAATAATGACTACTTACGTTTGACTGCCCTTGGCCCCCTCTCACCGCCATCTTGTTTGTTCCCCATTCCAGGAAAATCTTAGAACAAAGGAGCACTGCTAAATGGGATCAAATCACCATTAAACTAGAAAAGGAAGAAGTTAATAAGATTAATAGGATTTGTCATTAAGAATAGCTTATATAGGTATCCATATGACTAGTTTAGGCGACATTTTAATCCTTAGGTTACAATTACTGGATAACACAGTGCTTAACTGTGATCATAGTATTATCATTGCTTGACTGGCTCTCTAACTGCTACAACTGAGTACGTTATTCGTAAAAAATAGAAGACACCAATACGCTGAAACTAGGAAACATAAGTTTACGTGTTGACGTTAATACGATTTAGCAGGAAAGACGCAGTCCCTACCTTGAACAGGATGTCTGAGTGGTTAAAGAAAGGCCTTAATTATATGTTCTTGTATAGCCACAGGGTACGTATACACCACAATGTTGACAAGTTTCCACAAGGTCACAGCGATTGTGTTCGAGTCGTAGAATGTACTAATGCCTATCATGAAGTTGTAAAACTATTTGTAGTGATAGCATTATCACTATTGCTGGTACAGTAAAAATCAAGTAAGTCAAATACGTACATTACAAGTGTCTACAATTTGACTAAGTGGCTCAACATTGTGCATTGTTAAGAGCACGTCATGCTGCAGTTACCTGTCAATTTATCACTTAGTCGTTCATGCAAGAACGCTCATTGTTTAAAACTTCTTGCGTTGACGTTTCCTAAATTGTGACAATTTGCTAGAGGTCTTACCTTAGTAGTTATATACAGCGCATATGTCTCTTAACACGTCGTGTGAGTATGTCAAGATTTAGAATGTACAGATTGGAAGATAAGTGTAGCACTGCTGCATGTCATGAACCTTAACCTTTTCTGTTTATCTCTGTCATTCCAGTGCAGGATAACCTAGGAAAAGGGCGCCTTAGGCTTCAGTCTGTTTGTGTGCATCGAATCACGTTTCAAACTGGTACCTCATTATGTTCGACCTGTAGTTCCAGGCGTATCTCAGGTAATGTAAGCAGTGCACGTGAGACTAGGCGTGAGCAGAGTTAACAAACACATTCTGTGAAACGCCCCAGGCTTTTTGAACTCGTTTTAATATGTTGGAACACGTACACATGGTTGTGTTGGTTGTAGCCAATTCTTCGATTGTTTTCAAGCCTTTCCCTTACAAGACAATTCGAAGACATACAAATAGAGCCATATCTTATATCTAGCATTGTCCAAATATCCCAAGGTTGGACAAGATAGAGACAAAGTTTTTGTGTGACCTAACAGGTCGAGGTCATCCAAGTCCCCGACGCCATTTACGATGCAGTGACCGCGTGTGTTTGTGTCTGAATCTTTCAAGAGTGGCAGACATGGGCTTGAGTAAAGTCGGCATTATAATAAGTCACCATACGTCTTTTGAAACAACTGTCTACAGCCGCTATGCTTCTGACATGAAGCCTGCGGACGATTGATTGACCATAAGTATCCCCCTCCCTCTTCCCCGCCCTCTTTCTCTGCTTTGTTGTATCAAACGTACGCCCCCTTGCGTATTGGTCCCACTTGACAAATTTGTATGTATCGAAAAAAGAAGACTCGACAACGCATTCACTGTTCTATTTCATCAGCTTTAATCTTTAGTTAAGATACATGCAACATATCAAGAGACCAACTGCACGGAAATCAGACATCTTCTTGCGAAAAAATACGTAGCAAGGAACGGTGAAGTATCATTAGGTAAAATCTTGTTTTCTTCTTTGAATTATAATGAAACCAGTGTCTATCAGCAGGACAGTCGATGTTTGTCAGGAGAAGAATAAGAAGGGGGACTTCTTGTCCCTGGGTCTGGGGGAACTTCCTCTTGCGCTACACGGGTGTCTTCCCTGGGACTTCTGACCGTCCAATAACTGATTCACACCAAGGTAATCCAGCAATCCTTTCTCTTCTGCTCGAGTCCCTGTTCAAAATACAAAATTAGTTTAACAAAATGTCAACATTCCCAATGTGCAAGTTGTGATCTAAAAAGAAATACACGAATCTATAACCATTCCTGATGAATTGTATGACACGTATGCAGCAGAGAAGTTAAAAGTTAGACACATCGCAAACCAGTGAAACGTGAAGATTTGATTGGATGCACTTTAAGCCTGCAACAAGCAAGTGCACCTGTGTCTACGCCCATGGGCAAAATGATTATCTTGTAAGCTTTTTCGTCTATGTAAGACTGGCAAATGTTTCCTCGAAACATGATTGACTAGAATTATACATGTACGTATACTATGCATGACCTCTTATTTGTTCCATCGTGTCATTCCTTTCATTTGACGTGTATGAATGTGATAAAGAATACAAAATCATTACACAAACACATTTGTGGCATTTTCAGATAAGAATGTTAACGTTGAAGTTGACATACCCTTTTCTCTTTTCTGGTAGCTGTTACTGTTGTTTTGTGTCTTGTTTTTCCACCTATCGAACACCGATCTCGCTTTATCCATTCCCGTCCATTGGTCTAAAACACTGCGGGCTTTCTCGTCACTTTCGTCTTTCTTGTCTTCTCCCCATGGGTTCTGCATGGCGTTTTGTAGGTTTCGCAACCAGCTCGTAGAATCTGTAAGAAAAGAACAAATCATGACAAAATGGCACTCGTTTGTAACTCGTCTGTATGTGACTATATGCATACAATTTGTTTTGTCTTTTATGACACAGGACACCACTGTTAAGTGGCAACCATGGTTAACAGAAAAAAAGGAAAATAGAACTAAACAAGAGATCTGAGATCACATACCTTCATGAAATATGGGCTTGACGTGTAAATGTAAATTTCCTCTTTAATTATGCAAATGACCTCCACATTAACATAATTAATGTATCGTGATGTTAACTTTTGATGAATTTACAATTTACACCAAGTAGGAAATTCCCATCATTTACCCATTGAATTTTCGCATTAATTATGCAAATGAGGTCATAATTTGCATTATTGGTATCTGTTGATGTTCCATCTGCCAAAGATTACATACATTACATGTATTAAAGTACTACAATGTAAAACACTGTAATTAGAGAATTTCCTCATTTATTATGCAAATAAAGTCCTCATTTGCATAATTTGCATTAAGTTATGTACATCTCTCTCAGCTACCTACCTACCAAAAATGATGAAAATACATTGTTCCTGTCTGGACCTATTGGCTTTTAAAGATTTTCCCCCCGAAAGTCCCTTGCAGTTTCAGAACAAGCTGCTAGGGGGACCAAACCCACACCAATTATTCCTGGCAGGACAATCTATCTGTCACCCAAAAATCAAGACCATAACATGTTCAGGACAAAAGATACAAAAACCGGAAGTTCTGCTGCAGTACCAAGGTCATCCACCAGGAGGCCCATATTTGACCTTGACCTTTGGCTTCCTAAGGCCTACCAGCACACCAAATATCATCACAATCCATAAAGGCGTTATGGAGTTATGCTGACTACAAATATGCGGAAACTCAAACACACACACACATAGACGCGCCAAAAAACAATACCTCCATTTTCATGGAGGTAACTAGATCTCAGTGCCAAAATTACGTCAACACTGGGTGTCCATCCACCCTAACACTCAAATTTTCCACATCATAGCGCACAGAGGTCGCCTTATTCCCTGAGGAAGAACCTCTCATTAATCAAACCAGGTCGCAAGCCCGGGGCAGCCTCGACACAATCAGACATCTGTTACCCTGTCTGGCAGACTCCTCATTAAACCGGAAGTGCTGCTGCAGTACCAAGGCCATCCACCAGGAGGCCCATATTTGACCTTGACCTTCGCCCCCCTAACACCTACCAGTATACCAAATATCACCACAATCCATAAATGCGTTATGGAGTTATGAAGGTACAAAAAAGCGGAAACACAAACACACATACACACACACACACACACACACACACACACACACACACACACACACACACACACACGCACACAGACGCGCCAAAAACAATACCTTCCATTTCATAGAGGTAAATACATATAAATCTGGTACAATATACTGGGTTCAGGAGTAACTTTGTTAATTCTATGATGTTAAGAATTTGATAAGCAAAATCTATTGTCTCATAGAAATTTAACTATATTTCAGCATAGTTTGGGGACAGCAAAAAGTACGGCAACACAATGAGGGCGTATCTACGTTTCAAACAATTACCGTTCGCGTCCTGGTCCTTCTCTCCCGTCCACCACTGCTGAGGAGAGAACCAGCTCCGGTCATCCCTCTGTTTATCAGAACTCTCACCCGCGGAGGCAAATGTTGGCAGGTAGTCCATGAAGCTGGGAGACGCTGTTGATCAAGTTTAACAACATGTCAATCTTCTTACGAGAGGTTTATGCTTATTTCGACGAATTAGAATGTTGCAATACAATAATTGCACTTGAATGGATGCAATTCAAACTGAATAGCACAATCACTGTTAATGGCATGTCAAATGTACGTGCCGACTAATGATGTGGAATTCTTCATCTTCATCTTCATCTTTGCCGGGGCTCTAAGATGTTGTACAAGCCCCGGCTACACCCCCATATAGCCCCTGTTGGGGCACTTTAGGGGGGGGGGGCTTGGTCTAAGGCGGGCAGGCCTCCAGCCTGGCCCGGAAGGGTACCAAGAGGTACCGAGTTCGAATCCTACCATGCTACCGATCTTGTGCCCTTGGCGCCCTTGACACGAATTTCCTCACCTCACTTCACAGGTGAAAATGAGTATGCCTGTTGTCGACATGTCCGTTCATGCGTTTGTCTACGCTGGTGGTAGCATAAAAATAAGTTGAAAAATAAAACTTCAGTGTGCTGTCGCCATGTCCTGTTATAAATGTTGGAATAGGAAAAAATGGAAGCAACTACAACGTACTACTTGTACCACTCTTCCTGTTCCTCCCGGTGTCCTCTCCCCCCACCGTGGTGCCCGAGAAGACCGATGCCGGACTGACTGGCTCGTCCTCCCCGCCGTACGGGTGATCTTCTCCAGATGACGTCCGGAAGGACCGCCTCAGACCGCCCAGGAAGCTGAAGGGTCCTGTGTTCAACCAAAAACAGCTGAATGCTTTGGAATTCAACATTCCTTTGGAGTGTAATCATGATTTTATTGTTTCTCCGTGTTCCATTTGAGATGAGAAGAAGGTATGCACAGAGATATTTTTGAGGTACAACATACCTACCCACCTACAAATCTTGAAAAAAAAGAGATTAATTAACCCGGCCAGTCAGAAGTATGGGTGGTCACCGAAACATCGGGTGAAACACTTGGTTGACGGTGTAAAAAGAGTCTCTTTACATGTGTATTTATAAGTTACTAACGTGGCGAAACTATGATGACCCAAAAGTCTTTTAACAATGTCCTCAGGATAATCATGAGAAGGATGAAAGTTGTCAAAGTCCTCACTAACTTAAAGGCACGATAGATACACACCTGGTTCATCAGTGTGGTTCCTCCCAGAGTCTTCACCCCCAGCGCAGGTCCCCAGAAACCAAGGAGACTCGCTTGTTCCTCCCTTCCTGCCACGGGGCTGATGCATGCCCGTTGACTCAAGGAAAGTTTGTTTCAGATTGTTTATAAGGCCTGGAGCCGAAGAAATAAACATTTTAACATCTTAATATGCAATTTTCAGAGACGTCACAACTTGGCCAACAAACGTAGTACACAAATGCAACACAGACCCAGTGCGCGTGCATCGACAATAGATTTTTATTCAACATTCTTTCCTAATATCTCCAAACATGAAGAACTAGTAGTGACCTGGGTCATTTACAGTCTCCTGTCGTCCGGTATCCTCCCCTCCTGTCCAGCTGCCGAGGATAACATGTTCACCTCGCTCCCTTCCTTTTGATTCGTCCCCAAAAAACACACTGAACCTTCCCTTCAAGCCGTACAAGAAGCCTAGAAGTGGAATGATCAAGAGGCTGTTATACCAGGAAACATATGGTTTCTTCGAACTAAAACGACGATTTTCCTCGAAATTTTGAATGTCTGTGCCATAAACTGTTCAGTAATGTTACGTCTGGGCATTCATTTTCTGTAGTTTATCTTCGTACTGTACCGTTATTGCTGTATAAGACAATTTAGTCCCAGCTAGGATATCCTTTGATTGAACCAGTTCTGCACTGGGGGTACAATTACGGCATTTTCGTCTACTAACTAAGCGTTTGTCAGACAGTTTACAACTTAAAACTTGTAAGAGGAGTTTATAATGATTTACATCAATGCGAACCTACCTGTATCATCATTTTTCTTACTGTCTGTGTACTGTCTGGTCGCCCATCCCTGGATGAGATCAGGAAGCTGTTCTCGGTAAGTTGTCTCTCCTTCTATGACATCCTCCTCGTGAATCCCGAGAGACTGTTTGACACTGTCCACAAGTCCGGTCACTATCTTAGCTCCCGCCCCTACAGGCTCTACACAAACATGTTAATACTCATGATAAATTGAACGATTTGAAGGAAAATATTTTGGTCATATGAGCCAAGAAGAAAAAATACACTTAAGATAGTTGATTGAATGTGAACAACTTGTACCAAATAAAACTCCCAAATGTTTAACATATCCTGATTCATCACCAAGTTCTGAAGTGTTCGAAGATGTGAATCACCTTTGAAACAACAATACATCACTCTAAAAGTACAACTAAGAACAAACAAATGAAAGTTAGAAAACAAGTTCTTCTACCTGCTGGTTTCCGGCCGTCTCTCCCCTTCCTTCCCGTGTCCTCCCCTGCCTTGAAGCTTCCAAGGATGACAGGGTTATCACCATGTGTCTTTTCCTCTGAGGAATCCTCTGCGAACTCAACCGGTGGGGCGTTGTACATGAGCCGCTTATGGTGGGTCGGGCTGGTTTCTGCAGCAAAGGATATTCAAGCCTTCTATTAATGCAGCAATGTACATAAATGTAACATTTTTCAGCCATGTAGCCATCAGCAATACAATTCCTGACACAATCCTGACGTAGTTGAGTATTGGCTAGTGGATTCTCTTTGCTGGCTCCGCATTGAATCTCGTTGAAGTGTTCTGATAGAGATTCTGAGTTATTCAAGCTATATTTATCTGCCACCTACACAATAGCGACCATTTATAGAGTACACTGCTGCATTTTCGACAGAATGTATTTTATCTAATTTACTTTGCTGCCAGCACAATTCTATAGTTACTGAAGCCCAGATCTTTTCCGTGTGTACAGCGGGGTGCATTAGCATTCAGAAGGATTTGCAGAATCAGAGTTATCAAATAGGAGAACAGCTAGACAAAAATTGAGAAACCTGAGGTGTATGTCTCAATAATAACAGTGTGACGACATACCTCTGTCAGTGGCGTGGTAGCTGACATCTACGTCAGACATGGAGCGACGGAGGTTGGAAGGCGTGGCAACGACGTCTGATCAAAAAAGATATTCGTATGATATCAATTTCATTTTAACATGGTAGATAGATAGATAGATAGATAGATAGATAGATAGATAGATAGATAGATAGATAGATAGATAGATAGATAGATAGATAGATAGATAGATATCGATCGTATTCATGTTTCGTGTACAACCATGATTGTGATATAAGCTGCAGGATACTAACTATAATGTCTCCTGCTGTTTTCATGCTCCTGACTGTGCTGTTTCCGCTGATCGTCCTTTTTTGCTGCGTCAGCTCGATCTCCGCATTTTCTGTCTTCAGGATTGTTGTCTCTCGGTACAGGTCTTCTGGTAGGACGGGGTCGGGGACTTGTGCGGCCTGAGTCGGTTACAATTGAATCATCATTGATACAGCATGCCTTCAAATATCAGAGTTATCAACCAAGAATTGAGGTATTCAAAAACTCGTATTTCCCCAGAACTATCGTAGACTGGAACTCGTTGCCACCAAGCACAGTTGGGGCATCATCACTAGAAAGCTTTAAACAACTCCTGCAATCAAATGTGCAAAGATTGAGTGTAACAAGCCGTTCAGTGTGATATAGCTAGCTGCCGCCGCGCCGCGTGCCTGCGATCTGTACCCTCATACTAACTAACATACAGTCAAGTATTTCGGAACAATCGTCACAAAAAACATAAGCTCTTACACGGGATGATGAAATAATGAATTGACTGTTTTGATCTATGTATTAAAAGCTATGGAAACTATAAATATATACCTTTCCTGTTGCCACGATAACTAACGTCAACGTCTGACATGGATCGTCTTAGGTTTGAAGACATTTGGAGATCACCACGCTGTCCTGTAAGACACAACAGTATCAACCATACAACAGAAATTCAGATGCTTTTCTTCAATTGAATCAGGGTAAAAATCCTTGAAAACAAACGTGCGGACCCAGATACTAACGGATTCTTCGACTTCGTTCCTTGGTCCTTAATGATGAGTTTTCACGATTAGTCTCACATGGTTGCTCTTTTCTCGCGTGGATCCTGTCCTTGTTGCCTTCTTTCGAATCTGTTCTAGGGGATTCTGCATGATAGAACATTGAACATTGAACGAGTGACTAACAAGAACGAATCTCGGACTCCATGAGAGGGAGACAGAGTTGAGTTGATGGTAGAAAGTTGTTCAGCATCTAGTACACATTCACATCTATTAGTAGTATTGTGTCATCAAAATTTTGACTGCTCTATTATGGAAAGCTATTATGTTTTTGAGATAGAGCGACTCAAACTAACAAGCTTGTACGTACCGTTTTCCCGACTCCTGTAGCTTATATCCACATCCGACACGGAGCGCCTCAACTTGGAGGAACGGGAGTGTGGCGTCCTTGGCACGTGTCCTTTAGTTAAAACAAACAATCATAATGTACCATAACTGTTCAACAATAACATATGTTTATACTAGAGAAGTAACATTTGCAAAGCAAATGCATAATGTTTACCTTCGGACATGGTCTGCCCAGTTAATTTTTAATCAAACACATTTACATACATGTACTAGGAGTATATGGTGACAGGTGGTAGTAGAGCAGACCATGAAATTGCAACATTATGTAACCTAACACCAGTCACCATAGTGACAGACGTCAACAAATCATGTCATTGGTCAGGTCAGAGGTTAGTGTTTGGAACAGAAGAGGAAGAAGAAACGTACTAAAAACAATATGTTTTCCTTCGGTAAACATAATGATTATAGGTTATTTATATTAATTTTTTCCACTGAAGGTATACTCCCGACAGGTATACTCACTCTTCCTCCTTGATTTAACATGATCTGTAACAGGGCTTCTAGGTAAAGCGTCCATCTCGTCTTCAACAATTGGCTCTCGGAAATCCTGCTGCACCTCCTGTGGACTTCTCCTTTCTGAAGGTCTATGCTTCTTGTATGGCGAAGATTTCTGGTCGTCATTTGGGCTAACAGACTCTCCTGTATAAAAATACATTCCGATGTAAGCCCGGAAGAGAAAGACAGCTGAATTTTGTATTCACAAGCAAGAATATAACCCGTACTGGGTAACTCACCTATCTCTTTCCCTCTGTAGCTGACGTTCACATCTGATTTCGAACGTCTGAGTTTAAAAGATTTACGAAGCCGAGATATGGTTTTTGTTCCTGGGGAATGGACATAGAAAACTGCAATGTTAGTATGCTAAACAGTGTACGTACACGAGAGATTATACTCTAATAGCAACATGAAATTTCACTACAAACTATGTTTCAAAAGTATCAAAATACTTACTGGGAATCTCATCGAACTTTTTCTGTAGGGACGTCAGCATCTCCTTTATATCATCAAGTCCTGTTACACATTCTCCTGGTCTTCTGAGATTTCCATGTCTCGGACTTTGAGGAACATCGATATCGTCTTCTTCTTCCAGATAGACCTGACTGTTTTCAGCTGATGTAAATGATGTTGAATCCCGGTCTTGAATCCATTGTCCAATTTCATCATCCGAAGATTGTTGTCTGTACCTTTTTGCAGCACCGTCGTCGTCTTCAAAGTATTCATAGGCTTCAATCTCCCTGGCTTTGCTTTTTGCTTTCAATTGTTTACTTATATCTCTGTTTCGTAAATTCTTATGGGAAAGTGTTTGCTGAGTGCTAAGCTTGGTGACTGTAAAATAAAGAAAAAAAGTACAATAAGATTCAAGAAAGGCACCATGCTGCTACAGATGAAGATAATTGTCGAAGGGGAAAATGAGTATTGTATTATCCTCTGTGTTGGTGGCGGCATTGATATAAGTTTAAAAAACTCGAGTATGCCGTCACCACGTCTTGTATGTGATTAGATGTTGGAATATAAAAAAAATACTAACTTACTCCACAAAGGCTCTTATTCCATATCAAGTATAGAATGTTATCTTTCACATATCTGTTTCTAATGGATCAGGGAGGCCCATGGAAAAAAGGTTTTTGACCAAGGGGATGGCAATAGATTTTTGTAGCCTGTGAAACCCAAGCTCAGGGGGCTCCCTACATAGTCCGGCAGGATGTTGGGCGGCCGGCAAAAGCGATTTAATCAGGCTAGATTTTTGTGGACCAGACCACTTGACCTCCCACTGCTAAATATCGTGCAGTTCCTTACATGTCTTCATGTTTACCTGGATTATGAACAGTTTTGTATATCTATACCTTAATTATTCTACTCACTTTCCCCCCTCTTTTTGCTCACTGACTGTGACGTACCTCTCAAGTTCCTCCTGCTCCCTACATCTGATTTGGCACGCCTGACTCTGGTCCGGTCAGGATGTCCGTCTCTTCTACCATTCGGACCTTAAACAATAGTCAAAGGGCATGATCATAGTACTATGCATCTTTCTGTCAGTAAAATACTTTGTTGCACAGCAATTGTGCATGGCAAAAAGTATGGCATCTACTAGTACATATCAACTACACTTTCATAAGGCTAACTAATACAAGAGTGAGTGGCTAGTGTGGGATAGGTAAATATGAATATATACAAATTATTGGAATGATTTCTAATTTCTATAGAGTCTTTAGAAGACGTAAGTAATCATTTTCTTTTCGAGTTATGTCCAGCTTGTCCACTAGTATCAGTTGAATCATGATACGAGCATTACAATCGTGTCTTTCGACTGGAGTGTTCTGAAACTCACCCCTGTATAACCGCTGTCCCTTCCCGCTGCCGGCCTGGTTGTTACCCATGTTGACGACGATCTAAACAAGGCAGTATGAGATATTATACAACAGAATACAACAGAACTTGTATATATCAGAACGGTGCTCCACACAGCGTGGTGAATACAAATGCATCAGTTCCTTTGAAAGAAACTCCTGACCGCAGGGCATATGTACATTATGCTTGTTATTTTAAAGGTGAAGGTTTCATTGTTTACATAGTGTTAATCTGTCCAGGGTATTGTAGGGCGACCACAAAATAAAGGGGAAATCCTTGACCACCTGTTGCACGTTTTAATGAGAAAAATCTTTGAGCTGTTTACACAACCGTTGGAATGTTTCATTTTTCGCTTGGGATTTGAACCATGGCATGTGAATGCAGGGTGGAGCAAGGCTCACACTATTGTATTCGGCACCATATGTCAGAACTCGATTAACAGGAGTGGTATCTACATGTATTATCTACTCCGACTGAACCTTGGCCTCACCTGCGTCACACGTATTGTGCGATGAGTCCTCAACTGACCCAGCCCTTAGCTAAATTATTCTTCATTCAGTGCATTTGCATTGCATGACACAACGATCAAATGTTGTAGAGGCTACTAGTCAGACTACTAGTTCAAATTACCTACGACTGGGGCACAAGCATGGTTGACTGGGGTACGTATTGACAAAAAATAGAGAGACAAAACAACAACAAAAACAACAACTTGCTACAGCAGAGCAGCAAAAGAAAAGGCATCACCAACAACAAGAACCACGACAATTGCAGCAACTACAACAACGTCAGCAAAACCACCACAACAACAGCTACTACGTACACCTACTTCATCGTTTTTGGAACCGTATGGAAGAAGTCACTGTTTTAACAATCACAGCAGTAACAACATGACTCACCTACAGTTTCAGAATGAAACATATCAACCAGGGAGACGCTGGACCCAGACTGCGATTGACTCGTCTCTTGAAAACCCTCCCCTTGTCTTTCCTTCATACAGGAGTTGACAATAAGTTTGAGCTGGTGAGTGGGACACACCTCTATCACCTAACATTATCTAAATTGTCGGTCCCAGCATGCACTATCGCCCAGGGCCATACAAACAGGAACTTCTATACCTTTGGGACGAAGACCAGGCGGATAGAGCTGACAGATTACCGAAAATACTGGTTTACACTGGGAATTCTCAACCGAAAATATTTCATTCTTGTAGAGATTCGAGGGTTATGAGATACGAAGAGGACAATTTCCAAAGAATTCTAAAAACTCCCCCATACAATAGTCAACTTCTAAACAGTAACATTCCGACTACTTTTACCTTCCTCATTACTTTGTCCTCGCACATGTTTAAGATGAATTTGAATCCATGTTCTGTCAGGAATAAGGATGGTGGCTATTTGATAAATGGTTAGTACCATTTACTGTATAGTTTTATATTCAAAACACCATTTCATGAAACAACAACACAACACCCTCGCCAACACTCGTCAGCCGACTGGAGGATAGCAGTAGAAAGGTACGACTAGATACCGACAGACAAATGAGTTTTTTGAATCCCCACCACCCTGGTTTCTCAGTCAACCTCCTACAATGTATACTGGGATGCCACGAGGAGTTGGGATGTTTAGCTGCGACGCATAGCCCGGTGGGATTTGGGGCCTGGGACTAGAATAGGAAAGCCTTGGGGCGAACGGGGTGACAAGAGTGACAAGTCATTCGTCATTCTAGAGTCACTTGTAGTCTAGGGAGTCTAGGGTGTAATCAGCGAAACTCTACTTAATAACACCTAGACATACCTTGGACGTTTATGTTTTTCTTTGCGTCGCAAAACAGTGTCTAATGTAAATGAAATGCGTCAATGATGTGAAAGACTAACATTTGCATGGGAATGACTATTTTTAGGTGAAGACTACTTAGCTAGTTGCCCCCGGGCAAAACCAGAAGATTTCTTCCCAATTGTTCTTCAAGAAGAATGAAATACTCGACCTCCTACCGGACGTAATTATAAGTTATGTTTAAATCAACGTGTCGCTTCGTGCTACGCGGATTGTCGCGTTTTGTCCAAAATTATCCCTGACAGTTTTTCCCAGTGTAGTAATCTATTATTATCTGCAATCAAAAAAAGACGAAAAATTGTAGTACATCAGCTTTTTGTATTTTTGCATCTATGCATCGGTAACATGAAACTATTTCTATTTCTGGCAACAGACAGACTGCCTATGTGTAGTAACTAATTCCTGGATACCATCTGCTAAATATTCTGCATTGGATATTTTATACTCTTGGGTATCTTTACTCTATATTCTTTAACATGCCATATTGCAATGTTTGCAGTCGTACCTATTACAGACTTCTTTTGCACCATAGTTGATTGATGGTAGCCTACGGCACAGATATCGCATTGGGAAGGGTAGGGACCAGAAGCTTTAAGAGCAAGACTACATTTCAATGATGTAACACACACACACAAAAGCCGGAGGCATGTTCAACTGCAGAAAATCTACCTACAAAACATAAACATAATCTCCTTCGGTACATGGGGAAGGGAATTTGTTTGGTGTAATATCAACTGCGTTCCCAAGTTAGTTTAGGACTTCGAAAAGGCATTGGCGAGGGAAATCTCTCGTTTGTCATGACTAGGGGTGCAAAAGTCCCAAGTCGCCTGGTCGGATCAATTCGATGTTATTGCAGCAGAAATGGGCGGAAACTGGCGAAAACCGTCAACGCAAAGATTAACCCTGCAGCATGTTACGTTATAATAGCTGTATATACGACGGAATGATCTGCTTTGGATTCACGAAAACATCGTTAGGTGCACATAAAAAGTACCTGTAAAAGCCACGATGGGCATATCTTGTACATAGTTGTGAAAAAGCAACATTCAGGACACATATAGACACTCTATCAAAAAAGATGGAGGGGCAATTTATCATACCTTTGATATCGTATGGTCCACTTTATTTGCTCAATGCTACACAGGCACATGGCGTGACGATCTTACATGTACATACAAAAGCCTTATACATGTAATAACGGCTATATTACCATCTAGTAGACAAGATAGAAATACATATACGTTTAAACATTCAATACATTAGTGAAAAATTGAACGATCTTTTCTGTCTTATTCATCATCGTTATCTCTACATCACCTAATATACCAACAATGAAAAATGACAATTCAACAGTTTGGTTGGAATAATGGTCCAGTATGTTTAACAACATCAACCTAATAGTTAACCTCACCGCTCTGTTAGGAATAGATACGAGATGCTTGAAATAACTTGTCCAGACTATCCAGGGACCCTCTTTAAGACTACACATCAATCACCATACTCTCCTTAATTCCCAGTCAAAAGTCACGTTAATACTTTAGAAGAGCATTGTCATTTACACACGTAACAGACCATAGGATAGAGAAGGGCGTTTTCATTTCAGTAAAAAAACCTTTCCGTTGCTTTTCATATAACTGTGAAACTACTACATTTGTACAACCCTTGATGAACCACGTAAAAGCATTTCACAAGCTACGTTGTCAAATCGTAATTGCCATGAAATGGACCAATATGATTCTACAATATGGAGTCTGTGTTCAATTTTTACTGTGCTGATATTGACCTATGTGTTCTCACTGTGTTTTAGGATATGAAAATCTGACCGGACCCCTCTCCTTTCACAATTCCCTGTATAATATAACGTTTAACAATACCATATATTTTTCGCCTCGTTGGTACTCAGTGATGTATTTCCTAAATGTATCTATTAAACGACATTGAAACTTTATAAGGCTTACAAATGGTTGGCACTGACACTGGTTTGGTCCCACGTATACGTCATAGAAAATGTGTTCTTTACTTCATCTTGTCACAAAGTATAACAAGTTGTTACATTGTCCTTATAAAGGCAACATCAAGTACGTCAGGTTAGATAGTGTACATCTAATATCAGATTATTAAGGTTTCATCGTCTTCGTCTTTTTATTCGTCTATGTCTATTTCTCGAGTCTACACTTTCCGAATATTTCTTCTATCACAGCTCTGCAAAAAAATGCAGACTAGCGAGTTCCGATTTTCTCAAAAGAAATGCTATTCTAATCTAATTGTGCTATAATCATTTCATGATTTTGTGAATTTATGGCAGTATGAGAATGGCTCTTTTGGCACAATGATATTACAATGAAGTAATTTCTATATCTGAATGTAGGCAAAATTATCGAAAAAATGTTTTCACTTCATGCAAAATGTGGCAGTGTACAAGCGTCTGCATAAATATGTGTCCACAACTTTACTTTCAAATCGGGCAGATATTATCATGCAGCAATATGCAATACGCAGAAACAGTTTAAGACCTACGCTCCAATGCGCTGGAGCATCATCACTTCCCATCATTTATCTCTTTTCCCCGTTGACGTTCTATGTATCATCGTCTTGTATAAACTAGTTTAAGACAAACAGGAAAGCTGACTCCTCTTCTTGTTCCCCGGCACAAATCTGCCTCTAAGAAAAGTACGAGATGAAAGATTTCCCATCATCCCTTCTCTTCCCGCTGGATTTTCTGGAGCCCGCCGAACCTCTCCGAGAACTCCCGGCGCTGGCCGTACGTCTCACGGAACCACCCGACTGCCGACCCGAACCGCTCCGGTTGCTCCCGGAACCTGGCGGAAATTTACGATTAATCTATGGCAGGTTTAATGATGTCTAAGACTCACACTCAAACATACATGTTATCGTAACTTGTAAGGCCATGTTGATTTGATTATATGGATGACATCCTCCGGGAGCCCCAAAACTGATGCGCGCGTGCGAATAAAAAAAACGTTTTGCAAAAAAAAAGTTCTTTTCATTATGAAATCTACGTGGTCATGAGGGTTGAGCAAATGGCACAGAATATGGTTTGGCGAATAATCTAGTCTTCCAGTTCATTTCTTTACAATTTCGTCTTTTTTCGTTTGATTTTGGCATTCTACGACATTGGTATAGTTTTTATTAATTTTTTTTTGTAACTTATGGTATATTTTTGCTCATTTTGCAACTGTTTTGTACGATTTACAGTATGGTTAAAAACTTTTTTTTTGGAAACGGCCGAAAATTCATGCTTTATTAATTTTTTTTGTAACTTATGGTATATTTTTGCTCATTTTGCAACTGTTTTGTACGATTTACAGTATGGTTGAAAACTTTTTTTTTGGAAACGGCCGAAAATTCATGCGCGCGCGGATGTCATCCATATAATCAAATCAACATGGCCTAACTTGTAATACTAATTCCAGTCAGCTAAATGAGTTTTAACTTGCAATACGAAGCCTGAAAGAAATGCTTGAACAAAAGCCTTCAAATATCTTTAAAAAAACTTTTAACACAAGCTGCTTACTACAGGTTCTGCTCGCCTGCCTGTGACTGCCGCTCGAGTCACGTGAGTTGCTCCGCTTCTTTCTCCCAGAATCCTCTCCTCCAGCCCAGCTTCCCATGACCACTTGCGATCTGTCCTTGGGCTTCGCCTTGGGTCTTCTCTCCTGTTCGTCCCTGGACGGCACCCGGAACGACCGTCTCAGACTGTCCTTCAGACCAGAGAAGCCTGCAAACAACGTTTTAGGCAGAAAATCCATTACAAGTCGACATCACTCGGTTTTGGTCGGGATTTAGGCAATATTTGAGTTAAGGGGTTAAAAGCTTTTGAGAAGTTGACAATAAGTAATGTAGTGGCTTAAGGCAACAGTATTAAAAGTTTCAAAAGTACTTGTCATTTCATTATATATGTTATGATATGATATGATATGATATAAATCTTGCCCATATGAGCTAAATGCACAAGAGGATATGCAGTATGCAAAACATGAGTATTGCATACTGGGACGCTATATTCTAATGATAATTGCTAGGAATTTATACATTATAACAATGCTATATACTACCTATAATCTACTGTTAGTTGCCCTTTCTTCTCTCTTTTTGAAACATTTGGAGACATAATTACATAGTTTGTCTGCTATACATTCGTTCTTGCATGACATCAAGTGTTTCAACGTGTCAAATTTGACATTTTCTTGCATATCTTGTCTAAATGTAAAATATAATGTCCTTGAGTTTCATTATGACCGGTAGGTTTTAGTATAAGATATACGCTTACTGTGGCTCTTTTCTTTAGTCTTCTCCCGAACGTCCTCCTCTGATCTGGACATCCCGAACTGGATCGATCCGGAACTTCTGGCCCGTCCATTTCTAGGTCCTGGAGAGGGGGGGGGGTTACTGTTGTTACAAACGTGATAAAACTGTACACAGGGCTATAGGAGGAGGTGATTTTGCACGATAGAAGAATTTAAAAGATTCTCAAAAAAAGTATTTATAAAGAAGCTAACATCGTTTACAATAACGAAAGGATGAAGAGTAAAAAGAGAAAAATACTGTAAACAAAAAGAAAAAGAAACGGATATGGACTCGTCGAACTCAACTGGTCGTGCGATGATTGTTTCTGTCTTCATGCGCAAATCTGCTCAAAATTTCATCAAATTTTGAATTGTTGTCAGAACCTGAAAATATAATAAAACATAAAAACATAGGATAAAATAGATAAAAGAAAGCGAACACATCAGTATCTACGTAACAAAATGCTTGAAATTGGACGAAAGTTATGATTCAAACAAATAACGCTTGATGTTGTGTCTGAAATTTAATCCTGTACCATCACCACTCTAGCACATCAGTTTTATGTCTGGGGAGACTTCCGAGTAGATTGTGGTTTGAAATACATCATTATCCTGACGTTTATATCCCATTTGGTGACCAAATGAGCCATTATATCGCTATAAAACGTTACGGTAATGGTAGCAATGTGCCGTTGGTGTCCCCAGACTCCCATTGAAAGTACTGTGACCATGTTTGAGGCAAGTAATCTTCACACAAACAATCCCCAACAAAGAGTGACATTAGCAAGACACAAGAATAATGTTTCTTTATCTTTACTTTATAATAACTCCAATGTTAACCTTATCTGACAAGCCAAATTTCCGACTCTTCCGACTGTTTTTCTACTTCTGACTATAGCATAAAAACATGCAGATCATAGTAAATTCAGGTGTAGCCAGAAAATTTTCATTAAAACTTACTGGAGTCTCCATGGCGTTTCCCGGCCTGGCTCTGTAGATTTCCCATCTCAGAGACCTACATTTAGAAAGAAATCAAAATTGTTAGCAAGATGTAACATTTTATCAGTGAAACGTGTCTTCGTGTCAGTAGGTCAAGTCAGTATTCTAAAACAGTGTTCTTATTACACAGTCTAAAAATTTCTTGATATATATTATTAACTTGTGTTCATCAGTTAGGCCACAGCAAGTAAATTTTACGGATGACATCCTCCTCAGACTACGAATCTAATGCGATAGGGCGAAAAAAAAAACAAGGACGGGCCAAAAAAAAAACATTTAAATTTTGACATCATATACCTTGTTAAACGAGAAATGATACCCGTATTGTGCTAGGTTTACTGCCAACTATTACAACATCCATTTGTCACGGAAACAACTTGAAAAAATAAGTTTTCAATCATTGTACAAATGTTTTTGATTCAGTGGGAACATCACATATAATACAGCCACCATCACATATAAAAGAAATTAAATACTTCACTGCATCAAAGTAAAAGACAAAACAATAAATCAGAGTCTTGTCCCCTCTCTTTACATTTATCTACCATCCACCTTCCGGCATGGCATCAGACATCTTTCTCCATTTTCGGCATGTTCACCACTGTCAGATGGCAACAGAATTTCTTTTTTTTTTTACAAATCAGACTAAAATTAATGCGCGCGCTGATGTCATCCATGAAAATCACTTGCTGTGGCCCTAGTTAGTAATGGGCTTTGCTACTCCTTCCCGCAAGGTGGCGTGGCGGCACGAAATCCGTTCTAAACGTGACGTAACATTACATCATCCTAGGGTGTTCTAGAATACTTATGTATTGTCCTTGATAAAAACCTGATAAAACGTGATAAATGCTGGCTGGTGTACAATCTACTCTGTGTGACATAAACATTTTGCGATGATAAAGTTGGAGGTGTACAAGTTTGTCTAATGTGAAATATTATTTGGGCATTTTTGTTCCATAAACTAAAGTTTACAACCACAGAGTAATATACTTCTAATTGCCGAAGACTGTTAAGGCTATCCGCCTAGCACAATGACACAATTTCGTCTAATAGAACTGGTCTCTTCTTGAATAAAACCTAACATTTATCGAAATGCCGAAATATATTCCTGCAAAATACAGCCCAGTAATTTACAGTACCACTTATATCGAAACTTTATTCGCAAAATCTGGTAGCTGGTGTGTTACGCCGAAAGGCGGTTATACCGGCTATACAGATACAGATACAGAAAATCATGCCCGAAGGCTAATTGCTTTTACAATCAAGTATAATACTCATTGCAATACAGTAACAGAAGACAGGTAAGTTATAAACCGGCATTTTTCAGATATAATCACGACATGGTTCAGAGTATTCTTTAACTTATCCCGTCGTTAAAGTGACAAGGATATGGTTACCATGCCCTGTCTGGTAATTAAATATCCCTCCTGCTTACTTCGTAAAAATACACACAAATTGCAGGCAGCAAATTTTTCCCGACGCATTCAATCTAGTATTTAAGTGTTAGTAGAAAATTGATGAGGTGAGAGTTATATGTTCACAGGTATCCGTCTTGTGAGTATAACAAATGCTGAAACTATACTCTTGTGGGTGATTAACAGATATTGGAACCGTATGGAAATTCAGAGGTATCATTAGGACTGTGGACACGCAGCTACACCGCCGCAGGGCTATTAAAGGTAATGGATACATAGGGACTACCATGTCCTTATTACAAGGTTTACAGGCTTGTGATGCCAGTTTCAGTACATTATGTCTATTTTTAGGATTTACCTTTGAAGTTGAGATGCAAAAAAACAAGCATAGCTATAGTTATTATATGAGTAGAAAAATTGACAAGCTAGGTCCCACTATCTTATAGTAATGAAAGTAGACACGGCGTAAAGAAAAGACAGGAAAGTGACCAATAATCGCAAATCTTCATTAGGAAGATGTTAATCAGCGTTAAGGACGACTCCTTCAAACCCCCTGGGTGTTTAAGTTGCACTCGTATTCTAGGCCAAACGTTTCAATTCAAGCTATCTCCATATACGTCTGAGAAACACGGATAACAAGTCCTACTCTCCTCCCTGAGGTAGACAGTTTTACGAGTATATTCCAAGCCGATATATTATATGCAAAAAAGCAAGCAGAGTTATATAGGTATTATATGTGTAGAACAATTGGCAAGCTAGGTTCCACTATCTCATAGTAATGTAAGTAAGGAAAGACATAAGGGAAGGACAGGAAAGTGTCCAATGGTCGCAAATCTTGATCTTCATTAGGCAGATGTCAATCAGCGTTTAGGACGTCTCCTTCAAACCCCTTGGGTGTTAAAGTAGCACTCGCATTCTAGGCCAAACGTTTCAATTTAAACTATCTCCATATACGCCTGACAAACACGGATAACAAGTCCAACTCTCCTCCCTATGGTAGACAGTATTACGAGTATATTCCAAACCGATATATTATATGAAAAAAAAGCAGGAATAGTTATATAGGTATTATATGAGTAGAAAAATTGACAGGCTAGGTTCCACTATCTCATAGTAATGAAAGTATATTACGGAAGGACAGGAAAGTGACCAATGATAGCAAATCTTCATTAGGCAGATGTCAATCAGCGTTTAGGACGTCTCCTTCAAACCCCTTGGGTGTTAAAGTAGCACTCGCATTCTAGGCCAAACGTTCCAATTTAAACTATCTCCATACACGCCTGACAAACACGGATAACAAGTCCCACTCTCCTCTCTAGGTGGACAGTTTTATATTCAAGCCGATATATTATATGCAAAAAAAGCAAGCAGAGTTATAGATATTATGAGTAGAAAAATTGGCAAGCTAGGTTCCACTATCTCATAGATCAATGATCGCAAATCTTCATTAGGCAGATGTTAATCAGCGTTTAGGAGGTCTCCTTCAAACCCCTTGGGTGTTAAAGTTGCACTCGCATTCTAAGCCAAACGTTTCAATTCAAACAATCTCCATACACGCCTGACAAACACGGATAACAAGTCCCACTCTCCTCTCTAGGTGGACAGTTTTATATTCCAAGCCGATATATTATATGCAAAAAAGCAGAGTTATATCGATATTATATGAGTAGAAAAATTGGCAAGCTAGCTAGGTTCCACTATCTCAAACGAAAGTACACTGCATAAGGAAAGGAAAATAACCAATGATCGCAGATCTTCATCAGGTAAACATTTATCAGATGTTAATCAGCGTTTAGGACGTCTCCTTCAAACACCTTGGGTGTTAAAGTAGCACTCGCATTCTAGGCCAAACGTTTCAATTCAAGCTATCTCCATATACGCCTGACAAACACGGATAACAAGTCCTACTCTCCTCCCTAAGGTAGATCCTTCCGACATCCGTACGTGTTCCAGGTTTGCCAGGAATCCGGGTAACTAATAGCTTGTACATCATTGTGCTGCTCGACTTTATCACAACATCTATCTCACGGCGGCAGCTGCCTGGCTTGATAAAGGCACCAACATGTCTGCGCTCCGAAGTACTGACAGGGTCGTATATTTTAAACACGGGGGCCGGTAGATGTTTTGCGGCTTCTAAGTTGAGGAACAAGCGGTTATTGACGAAGATGACAGTGGACAGAGCAGGATGGGCAGTAGCAGCGGTCAAACTGGCTAATCATGCCCACCTGACCAAGGCGCCGGTCAGAACCTGGGGGGAATGGATGGTTCCTCTCTCTAGAGGATCAACTATCTCGACATTGATGTATGGCGACTCTTAGATGGTGATTTATTCAGAGAACCAAAACAGTCCAACTAGATCAATTATATGTGACCTTTATTTCGAATTCGATTTTTTCTGCGTTCAGTGAACCAAACTTTCTCTTCAAGCTTTAATAATGAATGAATGAATTGAATGATAATTGACTTGTACGTTGTAAATGTCAGACACAATTCATAATTTCTTCAGTTGCATTAACCTATACATAGATATGTTCAACAATTCACTCTTGAATTGCTCAGGTCATGAAATATTCGCGTACAGAAACTAGTGCTTTCCCATTTTCTATGAAAAGTGCTGCATTTGCACATCTACACCAATTTGAATCGTACAGGAAGCGCATAACTATCCGTGAACATAGTAATTTACACAGTATGGCGTGAAACTCTGTTCATGATTCAGACTCCAGCAGGGTCTTTTCGGGACATTTCGGCACTTTCTATGCCATTAAAGTCGCAATTGTACATATTCGGTATCCATCAGTATTCTGTATGTGTCTCAGCTTTCTTTTCAACGCTTGGAGTTTATATCGCGCCAATTTCAACCCATTAGTCCCTCAAAGAATGGCACGCAATCGTAGGTGACTGCAGTGTAGGTTTGTGCGTCCAGGTTTAGCTAGAGCTACTTCTACTGCATACTGATAGATGTTTTTCTTTGTTACTGCTGTGAATATTCGTACTCTACCCTAAGGCGGGGCTTTTAACGTGGTTCTAGCGCTATAGACTAATTTATAATTCACTGTGTAGTGTACAATGGGATTGCTAGAAAATCACATAAGAGAATATGACAACAAAAGATCGCATAGACCTCTGTCTATACTCTCTAAGCAGAGGTTTGGGTTTGGGGTTATTTTTGGCGTGTTTTAGGTTTTGTTGTCGAGGTTTCTTTTTTGCACTAGAATTTTTTTAACCCAAACTAGAGCTGTGTACCTAAACAAATTTTAGGTACAGGTACAGGTACAGGTACACAGGTTTAGGTACAGGTCCGGACCTAAACCTGTACCTAAAAAATTCGACCAATTTACATGCTCTTCTGAACTCTTTCAATAGCAACAAAAACATGTATACACTTGATAGTTAAGGTTTAATTTTGGTTTATGGAGAATGCTCAGATAAAATATAGGCAAAAGTAAGGTATTATTGTTTTCATGAACACACTGTCCTTACATTGGAACCCATTGGCGACCAGCTATTTCCACATTTAAGGTCACAAATAGGCATAAAATTGGTGTGAAATTGTTTAGGTACAGTACCGGTACGGAGGGATTAGGTATTT